CCCAAACCCAAACCCAACCCCAAACCCAAACCCTTATTAAAAAAAAAGTTCAATTCGTTCTTAATAATCAACATGCAGAATTCAGTAATTTTTTATGAATTTAGGAGAAATTCTTTATTTTAAATTTTCGATATTATAAAGAATATTTTTTAAGTTGGGTCTTTTAACAAGGACTGGTAAATTTTGACCTTTGGTCTGATTAGAACCAAGGTACTCTTCCAGTTACACTTAATTAAATTAAAAAATAATTGAATTAACTAAAGAGATTATGTCATACAAATTTATATTATTTGATAACCTGTTCAAAGAATATTCTGGAGAAAAGTACTCAGCTCTTAATTGGAAGGATTGATAATACAAAAAACCTAAAAATATAAAGGGCCTCAATCGTATCTTTCTAGAAATAATGCCTCAAAACTGAGAGCATCTCTAAAGAAATAGGTTATGAGAAAGATCCACGATTACGGGCATTTCGATATCAAGCTCCCTAGACCACATACCCCTTTTCACCATGTTAAATGGGCTTTCATTCTAACCTAAGCTAGAGTCTAAGTGATCCTAAGAAAATATTAGTTAATTAAATTTTTAATTGGATATGAATTAAACAACTAGATATTACGACTTCCTATTATTTCCATAATAGAGACATAGAAATTCAGCACTTTTAAAAGATTTCTTTTGAAATTGCTACATCATTGTTTTGATTTGAAGGTGATATTACTCATTTATCATATTTAGATATTTATAAATTTATGATGAATTAATTCTACATAGTATTTTAAAATTTAAATCAATCATTTAAAACAAGAGAAAACAATTTATGCTTAAGATGATTCATCTTGCGATTGTTATTAAAAAAAATGGATTTATTCGTCCCTTTTAAAGTGTTTTCTAAATATTAGATGATGTTTATATTAAAGATTTATTTTTTTTGCATCTTACACTAGTATCATTTCTACCTTCTATAAAGTTATTAACATACATCGATTAATTAATGTGATACTAAAGTATTTGAGTTAAACAAAGTTAAATATTGAGCAAATCATTCTAATCAAGAATTATATTATGAAAGTTGCAGGGTCTATAAAATAAAAAAAAACATTGTTGCTTAATAATCGATTAAAGTATAATATGCAGAATCTATCAAATTCGATGATGAAATATATTCATTTAAACCTACTAAGGGGATAAAAACATAATAATAATAATTAATTAAAATCAAAAAATTATTCTTCTATGGCTATTCTTGATGGTGTAAAATTTCACGTCCTTACACTTAACCTTCAGGGTAATAGAGATTTTCATTTCCTTCATAATAATTGTGTAAGATCATATATGGATAAAATTATACCAAACCCAATAATTCCGAACATCTACAAAATAAAATTAAATAATCTTATAATATTATAATGATAATTTCTCAATATTGAAATTTTTTCGCTTTTGAAAATTTTTGAATAGCTATCAGAATTTTCTTTAATGGATAAATATTTATGAACATAACAAAAAATTAAATAGAATTTCTTATAAATTTTAATTGCAAATCAGATGAAGTCAATTTGGGCATGTAATTGATTTTCTAGTAGGGCAATATAGAGATACATTCATAACCTTTTTAAGGAAAAAATTTATTCTTCAAATGAAAGGCATTTGGATTATTAAATAAAAAAATTTAATCTCATATTTTTTACAAAAAATTATCCTTTCAACAAAAAGAAATATTTCATCAAAATATTAAATTTTGATAAATTTTATTTTATAAAATGATTTAAATGTGACTTTGGCATAATCAGAAGTTCAATTTCTTAATTATCATCTAAATACCAGATCGATGATATTAACGTTAGGAGATCAAATTGCCAAAAATATAAAAGGAACTTGAAAACTAAATTTAATAAAAATATTGTAAATTAAATCAGCCCAATATTTCAGCAAGGGATATAGGATTAGAAAATAAAGATATCATTAATAATTTCTTTATTTATTTAGACAAAGGGAGTTTGTGGACTCATTAATAATATATAATGGGCAACTGAAATTTATTCTATAATTATGTAAGCTTATACCATGAATATTAGCCCTATCAAATTCCTTTATACTTATCCTTAATTAATTGAAAAAAGCTCAAGAAAAATTTATATACTATGTTTTTTTTTTGAAGTGACAACTGCATATTTTTGGTTGATTTATTCCAAATTAAACATTTACACAGTGAAACTAAAATTTTATTTATATATGTAAATATAAGAAAGCGAAAACTAATTGAAATAATCTGGGAATTACTTAAATAATTTTTGAAAAGATGTTTAGTATAATTGCATTAAGCTTAAAAAATAATTCATATTTCTTTAATATAAACATCAAATAATATTAGATTATATCATTCATCATTAATTCAATATATAATATAGTGAGCAGGTTTTGATTTAAAAAAATACATCTTAAAGATTTTGAATAAAAATGAACATCTTAATGATTATGAATAAAATTAATATTAAAAATTCAGGGATTAAGATTGAAAAAATAGGAATTCCTTTTGAATCAATAACAAACAACTAACCTTAAAAACTATAATTTTTTTCAAAAAAAAAGTATATGTATGATATTCATTTTATGAATCAAATATTTTCAATAATTTCTCTTGCTTTTTCTTGATTCATAGTCTTAAATGATTTAGTCAGCAGTTTTTCTTCCTTTTGACTGATTCCAACTTGAAGTTGTTGATTATACTTTTTCATTCGTTGTCTATCTAGGATATTATGATTCAATTATGTTAGTTCCAAAAATTTCACTAATTTCAATATCAAATATTTTACTGCTTTTCAGTTCCTGTTTCAACGATAATTTCCTACTTCTTAGGTATGGTAACTGGTTCATATGTTTTTTTCTATTTAAAATCTAAAACTGGTCTTTATAGATTGCTTCTTCTTGTTACTATAGTTTGGGTAACCACTTCTTATTACTAATTAAAATTATTTATATTTTTTCCAACAAGTTAATCAGCAATTTTTTACTCTTCAAATGATAAGCCCTAATTTGAATATGGATTAATAATGGGTTGACTTTTTGTAAGATTTGAATGATATTGAAGAGTTGGGTTAACAGTTTATGCATTATTCCAGTAAAAGCCATTAGTACCTGTGGTTTCAAGCTTCACTTCTTGTTATTTATTAGACCAATAATAATCAGCCTTTGATCTAATTATTTATTAATTTAATACTCTAAAGGTTAACTTTCTACTTCATCATAGGTATTGATTTCAAATTATTAAAACTCTGCTTCAGTATTTGCAATTTTTTGCTCATCCAATTATTCTTCAATAGCAGGGTGTACAATTCCCCAGACTTCAATCACTGAGATCTAAATTTGCAGAAAATTAAAACCTTCAATTTTTTTATATGTTTATGAACAAGGTCACCACTTTCATAACTCAGATCCTCAGCTGAACATGTGGATTTATTGAGATCTTTATCAATCCAAATTCTAAATTTATTTTCATCAACACCAAATCCTATGCCTTAAGGCTTTGACATATCTTTAGTATTTAGATAACAAAAGTTCTTTTTAGCATTTCTATCTTTTTTGGCTTAATAAACAACAAAATAAGGGTACAAAGAAAAGATACAGTCTTTTGCATCTCCTTATGACTATGCAGTATCGAACCATCTTTGATTAGAGATGGCTCCAAAAGTATAAGTTTTTAAAATATTGCTTTTGTCATGTAGAGCATCATATAATTCCTCATGTTGTATTAAAATTAGTGTAGGTAATCCAGATTAAATAATATTATTTATCATTTATTTAAATCCACCATTGTGTACTAGATTGGAATATAGGAGTTCCAATTTGATTGCTCCTTTTAATTTAGTCTCATGGGCACTAAGTTATAATTAAAATATTAGATCTTCATTTATTAGATATGAAGTTGTATTCATTTAAGGTACTTCCAGTGCTGTATCTAATAAAAAGAACTTGGTTTTCATGTATTATTTGATTACACCTGACAATCCACCAAGACGAATTCTAAGTTGTTTGATTAATTCAAACCAATCAATAATTCCATTTTCTGATTTAAACAATGAATCCAATAATGCTCTGCTAGCTTTTTCATCAATATTCTAAAAATTATCTCCATTCAATCTAATTTTAAGAA